GCTGTAACTTCAGGCTGAGAGATTTAGGCACATGGACGTACTTTATGTGTAGATTTAGGGATCCTTCCAAACTTCAACTGTGTAATTCTCTTTCCTTTCCCTCCCCCAGCCCAGTCTCAGGAACTTAGAATGACAAGGTTTTTGAAATCACTTTAAAAGGCTTTTCATTTTGCAGATAAGAAAACTGGGGTCATAAGACCTGTGTCAGGCCTACTGCAGGACCTCGTTCCTGTGTTTATGGAGGGAAGCAGGTGGCAGGAGAGGGTCACTGGCAGGGGAACGGAACATGTCGCCTTCTCCTATCTCCCTGTTCCTCTCCTTCCCCGCTCCCTGAGGCATCATTTCCAGGCTGGCAGAGCAGGGGTAGAGATGCAGGGAGGGCTCTGCAGGGAAGAGGGGCCTGCAGGGCCAGGGCAGACACCAGTGACAAGAGCAATTTATTTCCCAGGCACAGATTAGATGGCAACTGAGAAATTTTTCCTCACGTCATCCATCAATGGACCGCCTCCAGCAGCCTCTGTGGGGTCAGGAAATTTGTCTTGACTGTACTGCTCAGCCACTTTATTTGGGCTCCTGTGGCTCAAGTTATGTGAGGCACCCATAACAAGAAGGAATCCAACCTCACATCATCCACAGAGCTACTACCTCACAAACTGCAGCTGTCTGGGCTAAACAGGCTCCCTGGGCTCCCACCCTGGGCTCCCACCAGGCTCCCACCCTGGGCTAAACAGACTCCCCGAAGGAGATGATGCATTTTCTTACGGCATATAGGAATGAGGGATTTTATAGTGCAGGGCACTGGCTGGGGAGGGAGCAGCCCCTAGAGACTCTGCCCAAACTGAGATCTGGGGACATTGAGATTTTCTTAGCCTGCTTTGACAAGAAGGCATGGGCTGAAAGTATAGTATTAGCTGAAGGGTTGGCAAACTTTTGCCAAAAAGGGCGAAATAGTAAATATTTCAGGCTTGCAGGCCATAGGCCTCTGTCACAACCATTTAGCTCGCCACTGTAGTGCAAGGGTAGCCACAGACATTCAAAAATAAATGGGCATAGCTGTGTTTACATAGAACTTTACAAAAACAAAGTGAATGGCCATGGGCCGAATGCAAATTCCCCCAACTCTTTCACTGCAGAATACGGTTTGCAATGAAAAACTGTAAAGGAAGCAATGGGGCCACTGGCATATACCCTTAATTCTAATTTGGCGAGTCTGTAAATTGTATTGTCAAATCTCAGAAAGCAAGGGATCTGCTCTTTTGTGGATCTGTGGCTATTCGTTTTCCCAATATCCTTAATCAGCATAGGGAAGAGCCATGTAGGAGTTCAAAATGTAGGCTCTGACGCAATATTATTTGGATTCAGTCCTTACTCTGCTACTTCCTAGCTGTATGATCTTCACCTCCCTTACCTCAGTTTCCTCCTCTGTAGAGTAGGGACAGTAACAGTTTACTCTCCCAGGGTTGCTGTGAAACTGAATCAGCTGTTATAGGTAAAGCATTTGGAACAGCGCCTGGCATGTGATCAGTCTGCACACCTAACTGTTGCCAGACCTTAGTTAACCTTCACTAAATACTCACCAGGGACTGGTTGATCTTGGGTTGTGTAAGAGGTTGAGGTGTGAGGACACTTTGTTCCTACCAGATGGGCAATAGGTGGCCGTTTCTATCTAGGCACCTTGGCACTGGACATTGGAGATTTCTCTTTTTGCCTTTGCCCATTTTGATTAGAATAGAAAGTGGGCTAACTATAGCAACAAGAAGAAAGTGAAAAGACAAGGAAAATATATTCATTGGATTGTTACAGTGGGCTGGGCAGGGCTAGGTGCCTCATGTATTTTATTTTATTAAATCTATGCAAGAAACCTACAAGGCAGGCATTATTATCCTGATTTTTAGACAAATAAATTAAGTCTCAGAAAGGTTGTGTGACATGCCCAAAGGTCTGCCTAATTCCAAGTTCATTCTTTCATCAAATATTTCTTTTTTACCAACTATATGTCAGACACTGACCATCCTATTGTCTGGGAATCAGGAAAGAAAAACCAGCTTATGTTTTCCATGGCAGAGATGGAAATTTAAAGCAATCTTTAAGGTGGGGTTGCAAAGGAAAGTTATGAGAAGCAGGAAGCCCTCACCAAGGAAGAGACACTTAATCTGAGTCTTGAAGAATGAATGGGAGTCTCCTGGGAGGACAAGGGAGAAAAGGTATTCCAAGTAACATCACATGCAAACACACAGAGGCATTCAATAACATTGTGCTTTTGAAGATAGTCACTGATTTGCTCTGGCAGAGTTGCAAGGGCAATCAGAGGGCGATGAAGTTGGAGAGGCAGGAGGTCACAGGGGACTCAGGGAGGCTCTGGTGGCTCATGATGAAGAGTTTAAACTTGATCCTGCATACAACGGGGAGGCACTTAAAGGATTTTCAGCAGGGTAGCAACAGAATTAAATTGCGTTTTAGAAATTTAAAAAACAGAGGTTGGACTAAAAGGTGAATGCAGCAGGATACAGGGAGACCAGCTAAAGACAACTGAGTAATCCGGGGGAGAAAGAATGAGGGGTGCTAACTGAGAAGTAGCAGTGGGGATACAAAGCGGGAGACTGGTCTGAGAGACACTGAGGAAGTGGGGAGGCTAGACTTGATGATGATTGAAATGAGGAGTGAGGTGGGGAGGAATGAGTGGAGTCTGGGCTGACTGGGAGCCTGCCTTGGGTGATGAGATGAATGGGGCAGCTTTGATATGGGGAGCAGAGGAGGAGGAGCAGGGGTTTACATAATGATCACAATTTCCATTTTGAGGGTGGCTGGTGTGGGGCTAGATGTGTTGGAGGGGTGGGCGTGTGGAAGGCAGGATGGAGAAGAAGAGAAGGACACACATTCTTCTCTGAGTTCCACATGGCACTCACTGATAACAGCTGGGAAACAGCACATTTATCGGGCCCCAAGAACCAGCTCTGGGGGAGCAGCAGAGGGCACTCTCAAGATTGCTGTTGGTGGGGCAGCCTCAGCATTCAGCTCTAGGGGAGGGTTCCCAGGGAAACTTCAGGTAAGAATTTCCCTTCTGTAAGAACCTACTTTGATGTGAACGACTTGCAAATTCATTCATTTCTCTCTCTTTCTCTTTTTTTGTATTTCAGTAAAATGTAATTCTTGATGATTATGCTGAGTTCCAGTTATCCAGCTTTTTAAGGACTGAAGTGCCATTAACACAGATGAGCAAATAAAGGACTTCCTTGCTTGCAGCCTTTCTTTCATGTAGCTTGAAAATATTTGCCTGAATGTCCCCATCTGCTCCAGACCCCAATCATCCCTAGCTGCTGCTGCACTTTTGCTTCACTAAGGACTGTTCCTGGGACCATAGAAGGCATTGCAGGAGGAACTCCTGACTCAGCAAGGCCAAGCAGTTTCCTAAACTATGCCCTTCAGATGGCCTCACTTCAGTCCCCAGCCTTGGCCTCATAGATGGGCACAGCAGGAGGAAAGGACAAAGATTTCCCAAGGAGTAAGAGAACAGTGCACATGTTCGTGTGTGTGTTAGGGTTGGGGAGGAGAGAAGGGAGAGAAAGACATAGAAGGAGACAAATATGGTCAGAGAGCAACAGAGAGAATGCTCACATACGAGGAGGCACAAGCAAGACACAGGAAACAGGAAACAGATATGGCATGGAGGGGTGGGCAGCAGGCACGTTCTAGGAACAGCCGGACATTCGACAACCCAATCTTCATCCTGTCCTGAAAGTGTCCTTGGCCATGGTGCTGAATGCTAAGACCCCACTATCAAGTAGAGGTGGGTGAGCCATGCTGTGACTTTAAGCTACTATATTCACCAAGTTCCTTATTATTAATAGTTATTGAATAACCACTGCATGCCAGATATACTGCTACTTGCCTTCACACATAGTCTTATTTAATCACATGATAACTTCCTAACACAGTAGTTCACAGAATGGCCACAGATCTTGCCTTTGGTGACTGAAGCCAAACTACATTCCTTTAGCACCTCTTGGGTAAAGAAAAAAAATATAGTAGGAGGTAGGCACTGATAAATCATTTTACTTTTTGAGGACCTTTACAAAAAGGTAGGGATAAGGGGAGAGAGCTGGTTGCTGGTTACATTTAAATGATTCTCAAAGGGGTCAGGGCTACACAGGGAGTGAGCCAGCACTCATCACAGTGGATCTCATCAGGGACTGTCCCACCAGAATATGGCCCGTATGTGCTAATAGGGGTCAAGACCCTTGGAAGTTTTTTGTGTTGCCGTAAATTGTTATCTCAAAAGACACAGAGATGATGTCTCTGAAAGGGAATGCTTCATCGTAGAGATTCTAGCAACTCCAACCCATTCCAGTTATGTTGCTACTGTTCAAAACAGCTTTGGAATTTTATTTGTGGGTGTTTCTTAAAGACATTTATGTTTCATTTATTTATTTTCGTGACAAGGTCTTACTCTGTTGCCCAGGCTGGAGTGCAGTGGTATGATCCTGGTTCACTGCAGTCTCTACCGCCTGGGTTCAGGGGATCCACCTGCCTCAGCCATCTGAGTAGCTGAGACTACAGACATGCGCCATCACACCCAGCTAATTTTTGTATTTTTTTGAAGAGATGAGGTTTCACCATGTTGCCTAGGGTGGTCTTGAACTCCTGGGCTCAAGTGGTCTGCCCACCTTGGCTTCCCAAATTGCTGGGATTACAGTATGAGACACCATTCTTGGCCAAACACATTTATGTTTTCAATTGAGAAAATTTTTCTTTTTGTGGGTGCAGATTAATTTTTAAATAAAATATTTTCACAATTTTATTTTGTTTGTTTTAATTTTTTAGTAGATTATTTTTTAAGAGTAGTTTTAGGTTCATTATTTTTCTAGCTTTCTTTCTTTCTTTCATTCTTTTTCCTTCCTTCTTTTCTCTTTTCTTCTTTCTTTCTCTTTTTTCTCTTTCTTTCTTTCTCTATTTCTTTCTTTCTCTGTTTCTCTCTTTCTTTTTCTTTCTTTCTTTCTTGAGACAAGGTCTGGCTCTGTTGCCCAGGCTGGATGGAGTACAATGGGGCTATCTGGGTTCATTCATTGCAATCTTGACCTCCCAGGCTCAAACCAACCTCCCAACTCAGTCTTCTGAGCACCTGGGACCAAAGGCACACACCACCATGCCCAGTCAATTTTTGTATTTTTTGTAGAGACAGGGTTTTCCCATGTTGCCCATTCTGGTCTTGATTTCCTGAGCCCAAGAAATCTACCAGCCTTGGCCTCCCAAATTGCTGGGATTATAGGCATGAGCACTGTGCCTGACCCGTTTGTTTCTTTAAACACACACACACACACACACACGGCACAAGGTAGGGCACAAGCAAGGTGTGACCTGTAGTCCTGGTTAGCCAGGAGGCTGAGACAGTAGGATCGCTTGAGGCCAGCAGTTTGAGACCAATCTGGACAACATAGTGAGACCCCGGACTCTGAGAAAAACAAAACAAAGTATGTCTGTAATATATTAAAGCTGACTTTCCTCTTTGATTTCTAAATCAGGTCTAATGGCAATTTCTAAAGGGATATTCTACAACTAATCAGCAGTGCCAGCACCATTGGATTAAATATGCAGCTTCCCAAGGAAGCCCTTCGAAGGGCACTGCAATCTTTGAAATGCACATCAGGAAAAAAATCCTACGTAGGCTAATAAAAATTTTTTTATTGCTTTTAACTCCTAGCTCTGCCAGTTAGTCACCTGTGTGATCTTGGGTAAGTTACCTAACTTCTCTGTGGCTCTATTCCTTCATCTGTAGAAAGGGGATAACAATAGTTGCTAATGAATTGATACCAGTAAAATGTGCTTAGAACAATGCGCAGCCCACAGTAAGCCCTTAATTAATGGTCGCACCATATAAACTCTCGTCCTTCACTTTCTAGGTACATCCCAGGGTAGAAAATCCAGTGAGTTGAGGCCAGTTAGGTAGCTTGGCATGCCTGATGCCTGGCATCGGGTAGGTGCTCAATGTGTGTTTGTTGATCCAAATGCACTAAACATAGCCCCTTTAGAAGCTGAGGGGCTTGCATCAGGGTTTACTGAAAACAGGAATCTCTCTTGGATTCATTTCTATACTCAACGTGTTTTAGGTATTTTCTGAATATGCAGTGCACCCCTATCCTGGGTTATGACCAGGGTGAGACTGACTTTGGAAGGGAAACCTGCCTTAGGATCCTTTCAGAGCATCTCTTTTCCCTACGGGAACACTTGTATTTCCATGCAGTGGGGTTTGGAAGGCTGGGGTCTGTGCTCTCAGCAGGTCCTCCTTTGGTCACACTGGGGAGCAGTTTTTGCTAAAATGTTGATTTGTGAGTCTTCCTTCCCTCTTTCCTAGGGTAGTATGCACATCTGACTGGGAGAAACTTTAAAAACTCTACAGATTTTCCAAGGAAAGATGGCAGGCACCTTGATAGAGGTGACGAGGAGAATTTTTGATTATTTGGAAGGAACTTGGAAGAAACCCCTCTGTGCACAGTGAAAATCCTAGCAATATGTAAGACAGTGTTTTCAAAGGTAAGAGCACAGGCAATGGGGGCAGACTGACATGTCTTCCAATTCTGGCTCTAGTGTACACAAACGGGGTGACCTGGAGAAAGCTGCTCTAAGCCACAGAGCCTCATTGGTCAGATGGGAATAATCCTAACACCTACCTCATTGGGTTATTAGAAGATTTCGACGAAAGAGGCCCATAAGGCACTTAGCAGAGTGCCTGGCAATCTAAACACACTAAGTGTTTGCTATTATCCACGGTTTCAGTTACTTGCGGTCAACCATAGTCTGAAAACACCAAATGAAAAAATCCAGAAATAAATAATTCGTAAGTTTTAGGTCACAAGCTGCTCTGAGTGGTGTGATGGAACCTCGTGCTCTCCTGCTCATGCTGTATGCCTTTGTCTGCCCAGGACGAGAACCTTCCTCCAGCATTTCTGCTGTCCACGCTACCTTCCAGGTACTTAGCTGTGTAGTCGCCATCTGGTTATCAGAGAACTGCTGTGTTTCCCAGTGCTTGTGTTCAAGCGGCTCTTATTTTACTTAATAATGGCCCCCAAACGCAAGCGTACGGTGCCGAGTTTATAAATTAAAATTTCTCATAGGTATGTATGCATAGGAAAACTATAGTATACACAGGGTTCAGTATTATCCGCGTTCTCAGGCGTCCTCTGGGGATCTTAGAACGCATCCCCCATGGACACGGTGGGCACTACTGTATTGTTGTAAACAGCTGACAACAATAATAGCTACCATTTATTAAGCATTTATTATATGCCAACATTTTGCTAAACTGCTTTATGCATGTAGTTTATTTAAACTCCACAGCAACATCTTAAATTATCAACTGTATTTTACATAAAGAGACCGAGGCCTGGGAATTTCACTATTTCTTTTTTTTTGAGACAGGGTCTTGCTCTGTCACCCAGGCTGGAGTGCACTGGCATAATCATGGCTCACTGCAATCTTGAATTCCTGGGCTCAAGTGATCCTCCCATCTCAGCCCTCTCAGTCTCCTGAGTAGCTGGGACTACAGGCATGCACCACCATGCCCAGCTAATTTTTGTAGTTTTAGTAGAGACGGGGTTTCACCATCTCGGCCAGGATGGTCTTGATCCCTTGACCTCATGATCTGCCCGCCTCGGCCTCCCAAAGTGCTGGGATTACAGGCGTGAGCCCCCGCGCCCAGCCCACCATGGGTCTTTACTGTGAAGATTGACATGCAGCCAGAAAGTGGTAGATCTAGGCTTGGGATTCATATCTGGTTAAGTCTGTACTCTGCGTGTGTGAAGCTGTTTTCCAAAAGAAAGAATATACACACATATACATACACACGTCATGCACTGATATAAAGCATTGATATCAAATAAATATCAATGACAACGATAGTATGTATGCTTTTTGAGGGAGTGGAATGGGAAGCAAAGAGATTAATTGAGATACCTACTGGCAGACTAATAATAGGTAAAAATTATTGAGCACTTGCTTGTATCAAGCCCTGTTCTAAGTACTTTCCATGCATTAGCTCATTTAAGCCTCACAATGACCCTATGAAAGAGGCATAATTGTTACTCCTATTTTAAAGGTGAAAAAACTAAAGCATGGAGAAGATGAGCAACTCGCCCAAGCTTACAGATCCAGCACATGCTGGTGCCAGTTACTTGCCTATTGCCACAGCTCCAATTACATTCTCTGTTCTGAGCTGGAACTCTGGATTCCCTCGATAACTGGCTTTCTATCAGGCTTTGCTAATAGCAGGCATTAGAGGGCGATCGCAATGCAGAAGGCAGGGAGGCCGGGACTTCTCATTCTGATCCTGGACACCAGAGTCACTCTGTCACAGAAGCAGATTGAGCCCGAACTAAGAGGACAGATGATCACTTTCACACTGAAGGAAATTACTGGGAATAACAAAGGCTTATGGCTTTAATTAGAGGGTCAGCTGATGCCAGTGTCATTTTGAGGATAAGAGCATCAGGGATCCAAGGAGGGCACTGCTTGTCACAGTGACTCTGGAGAGCTATCAGCTGGGGTGCCTTGCTAAGAGAGCTTTGGTCTGGGCAGAGGGAGCATCGAGTCTAAGATCTGCAGTAGCAGCCACATAAGCCAATAAGTATGATGCTACCTGGTCTCTCGCTGACGACTATACATGGTATTGCACTCACTGAAAGAAAAATAGACACAAAGAGAAGAAAGAGGCACCTCCATACCATCACCTATCCATCCATCCATCCAATCTAACAAACATCTAACAAAGCACATGTGGGATGGAAGACAGAGATAGACATAGATCCTGTCCTGAAGGAATATCACATCCCCCAGTAGGGATATAACAGGGACATAACAGTGGGGATATAAAAGGAATATAACATCCCCACAGTGGGGGGATGTCACAAAGACATACTCACCTGCATGTGCAGAGGGAGATCTGAAGAGGAAAGAGAGCCTCTAGCTGGATCAATTCTGTGACTTCATGGAGAAAGCAACAATTGAAATGGGAGTGAATGGGGGTATATGTGGGGCACATTGAGATATCAGAGGGTTGTAGTGAAGGGTTTGTGAAGAGGAGGAACGGGAGGTAAGATCAGAAAGATAGCTGAGACTACACTGTGAATGGCCTCGAGTTGCAGCTTGGTTCTGTAAGCAGAGAGTAACTGAATGTTTTCAAGCAGGATATGAAATAATGATTGTTTTTCGAGAGTATTCTAGAAGCACAGTGAGAAACGAACTGTGGTAGGAACATCAGGTTAAGAAGCTGTTATGATGATCAAGGCAATGAAGGAATGACGAAGGAGTGAATCATGGATGAGGCAGAGAAAACACAGACAAGGAAAGGGAGTTCCGAGCCAGATGGTAACACAATCGGTAGGTCACAGCGAGAGGTAGGGAGGAGTCAGCTTGGGAGACAGGAAGGACAGTGGTGTCACTAAGAGAAATAGGGAGCACAAAAGAAAGAACCGAGTTAAAGGGGTAAAGCTGTAAACTCAATGAAGACTACACAGATTGTTTAACTACGTGGGCACTACCCAGACTGTCACGACAGCTACACAGATTGTCACTACACCGACACTGTATGGATCAGTTTAACGGATTGGAGGAATAAAGGTGGAGACACAAAGATAGAAAGGAAAGACAGGCTGGAGTTCAGGAGAGAGGTTAGGGATGGGAAGTTAATTTGGGTGCCACCTGCCTTCATCAAGGTTAGCAGATGAAGCTTTAAATTGGATGTGGTTTCCAAAGGAGAGAGTGTCGAGAAGGAGCAAAAAAGAGTCAAGGATGATCCTTGGATAAAACCTAAACTTATAAGGTGGAGGAAAGGAGGAACAAAAGGAGAAATGACCAGCATGGCAGGAAGACACCAGGAGAGAGCAGGCGGAGAGAAGTTCGAGAAGGGCAAAGTATTAGGGAGCGGGGAGAACTGCGCATCAAATGCTGATGGGGCCGAGATCAGGAGCAAGGAAAGGCCACTGGATGTGGGGCCTGAGAAATGCTCAGTACTGTCAAGAGCAAGTCCACAAAGTAGTGAGGGCTAGAGGTAGATTAAACAGCTCCAGAAACCATAATAACAAAGATAATAAAAATAAACCCTATATCGGATGCTGGCTGAGTGCAAGGCACATGGTGAATGCTTCACATGTACCAATTCATTTGATCTTCACCCCCCTCTGAGGTGGACACTATTATTATCCCCATTTTAAGGTACGAGGACAGAGGATGGGCCACCAAAGACAAGACAAGACCATAGATTTCGAAAGTGTGCTCGGCAAAGCCACAGTCCCGCGAGAAGCAGGAGCACCACGGAAAGGGGCTCTGAGGTTAAGTAGATTTGGCATTCCCTTCTAGGAGTGCACATTATTTGGTATTTGTAAAGGCAGAGAAGCCCTACACTGAAGAACCTTGTTTAATTTGGTTAAATCTAACATTTTCTAAATTTATTTGACCTGTGAACGTTTTTATCGTTAACATTCTGTGGAGCAATGTTCTACAAGGCACGCTTTGGGAAATGCTGGTGTAGAAGACTCTCATAAAGTCATGGACCGAAGCTTTAGGGTCAGATACATGAGGAGGCTGTAGGGATCCTGCTGCTTCTTTTTTGGGGGTTGCGGGAGTGTTTTATTATGGTAGGAGAGCAAACTTTTAGGATGAGCTAAAGAAAGTGACAGAGAAAAGGGGAAATAAAGAAACTTAGTGCCAGACAATAAATGAACAACATATTTATAGAGGTTTGAGCTGGGAGTCCTGGAAAAGAGACCACAAGAGAGAAAATTACAATCAATTCCACGTCAGGCCCTTTAGGTTGGCCTGTCCACTCCCATGTACCCAGTGAGAACTCATCAGTTTTACAAAGGCAGATGTCTCCGTGGCTTTAGGGAGCATTCTTCAGTCATTTAACAAGTGCAGGCTGGACACTCACTCTGTGCCAGCTGCAATGTTAGGCATTGCCTTCACTCTGATGCTGTCTCTTCTCAACTTCAACCCTTGGTTTTGCAACCTGGACTTTATTTTTGCCTTTGATCCTTTGACTTGAAGCTATGCCTGGGCTCCCGGGGTCTAACGATCAGTTTCCCCAGTGGCCTCTGGCTAAAGCCTCTTTTGTTCCCAGTGTCCCAAGAAGCTTCAGGTGAAAATGTTGTTCTAGTCTTGGCCTGGCCCACACACCCAACACCACTGTCCCCTTGTGCGGTATCCCTGCCTGGGTGCATTGTGGAGGGTGATGATACAAAGGATGAAGCATTCAGACAAGAAGAGACCTTGCCCTCAAGGAGACTCAAATCTAGCCAGGATGGAGGTGGCAGCTGCCCTCCTTAAGACTGCTTGCCTAGCAGCATATTAACAAGGCATGTAATAGTGTGCCACGTGGTATGGAGGCATCTGTGGCATGACAGGTGGTGGGAATTACTGGGTGAAATCTTCTGGAGGGGAGAGTCTTACACTAGTAGCCCCACTTGGGGTGAGAAAGACTGTGGGCAGAAGTCTGGCTTAGGAACTCCACTTTGTGAATAAGAGTGTGCTGTTTTGGGCCAGAAATGCTGCTCAGTCCACTGGGAAGACAGGCTAAGTGTCTGCTAATGTGCAACTGCAGACCTAGCCCAGGGCCTCGATCAGGCACTGGGCATTTGGCTAGAGAGGGTGTCTCTCAACCAGATGCTTATTATAGACTTGTTCTGAGCACTTAACATGTCTTCTCCCTCCCAGCTGCTAAATGCCCATTTCCAAGTTATTGACATTCACTGGGAAGTATGGTTAATATGCAAATATAGATTAGCCCCTTGCCACTGATGCAGGCTGCCTGCTTGGCAGCCTGTGGTACTCAAGATTCATAAAATATCTGGCACAAGCAGGGGAGAACAGAGAACGACTGGATGGGGTTGGGGATGGAGGTAGGTTTCATTCTGGGGCTACGAATGAACCTGATTGCAGCCAACGCTCGGTTATACCCAGGTGGATTACACACCAGGCAAGTCATCTGTAGAAATGTCAACTCCTGTGAGGTTTTACCTATTGCTCCACATACTGAAAAAGCTTCCGAGCAGCCTGACCCAGCTATTAATTGCTGTGCACTCACAGGCGGGTGTCTCATTTCCACACTGGTTGAAGCAAAACATAATGGGAAGGCAAACATGCTGTCAGATATGTACAATATCTCTGTCTCCCACTACACGTCGGAAGTCAAACGACAGTGAGCTTTGTGATTTTCCACCGTTTTAAACAAATGACTCCATTGCTTCCCCTCTTGGATGGACCGCTGAGGAGCTGCAACCCAGGGGGCTGTTTTAACAAACATCTGAGAACATACACATTCAAATGTGTTGTTCTTTCAGAATAGACACCTTGGGACTGGGTTGCTGCCTTGCTTGAGAACTTCCAGAGGTTCTCTTCTTTGCTTTTTGGAATTGTCTTTGGAGCCTTTCGGCTGTTCTTTAAAGCCTCCGTGGTCTACCGAGAGGACAGCTCTCCATCTCAGGAGGGCAGGGTTGGTTTTTGGTGACAGGAGAAAGAACTCTGGGCCCAAGTGTAGTGAGTCGAGTGCAATCTTACACTTCTTACTCATAAAGATTTGTTTTCCTGCTTTTCTTTCTTTCCAAGGAAATGGTCTAAGATGAACTTTGCCTTTGTGATCATTGCCTGAGCAGGAAGGTGAACTCGTCAATGCTCCCCTGAACAAAATAAGCAAGAGAAGACCAACCCCCTCACCCGCCAACAATGACACACATGCCTTTTCTTCTGCTGAGTACACAGCATCAGCTTGGCACCCACTGACAGCCACGTGTGTACGAACGATGTCTAACTAGACCCCAGAGCCTCTCCTTTGTGGATCTGCTGAAACACTGCTTCAAACATCTCGCCCCAGGCTAGCTTCCCCTGCAACCCAAGCAACTCCTCACCTACCTCCAGGGCCACTGATCAGCCTGCACCAGGGAAGGCAAATTCACATGAATTCAATGCCCTAGGTAGTCAGGAGGAAGAAACCATGGCAACAGTCTCTAGCTAATGAATCAATGTCCCGAGGAGACACTTCAGTTCCAGAGGGGCCATGTTGGCTCCAGGGACCTGGGGCTGGACACGTTTTCAAAGGAGGACGCTTGAAGCTGTTCTAGGAGATGGCAGTGGCTAGAATGCATGAATCCTCCAAGAGAACCTCTCAGGGGAGATCAAGCCTCCTAGTTGGGTCTAGGACTTTATTTTTGATGTATCGGTTAAATAATAAATCAAATGTTTCTGCTTGTAGTCAGAGGGTTGTGTCAGGTGAGGGGGAGCAGGCAGTGTTGGGATGACTATATACTTGGTAAGTCTGAGACTTACCAACTAGGAGACAGCCTGGATCTATTTTCAGGTTTTGTTGAAAGTGGTGCATTGTCCCCAAGACCCTCCTTAATTTCCCTAAATCAATATTTTTCCCTTAAAATAACTAGGTTGTAGGTATGCTTTGGGGACTGGCCATCTCTATGCAAACCAAAGAGTGGGGTTTCCAAGAATGAAAGTTCAGAAAGTCAGGTCCCCACGGACAGGGGCCCTGAGGATCACAGGGAGTTCTCCGGGAAAGGTACAGCCTCTCTGTGTTTCCTCCCGGGATCCAGCACTTCTGAGGACACCAGTCCCTGGAGATTTTCCGTGACACAGGGGCGAAGGAATTATTGTGTTGCCTCTCTTAGCTTCTCCTCCCCAGGGACACTCTACAACCAGCTCCAATAATTTTGTCTTCATTTCCCTGGATGTGGGGCCTCCAGATTCAGATAAACTAGAATTCCATTCTTTCCTCTAAGGAAAACCATTAGACCTGCACTTAGCAACCACCAGGAGGGTATTTTTAGCTCTCTGGCAGAAGTGTAATGTACAAAATGTAATAATCTCAGCTTTGAAGTTCCTCACAGCTCCATTCAACATGAAATTGTGGCTGATGGATGGGCATGGAGGCAGCAGAGAAACACGGCCAATGAGCGTGTCTGCTGTTTGCCTTCTCTGGTCAGAGTGTCGGTGCCAAAGAGGCAGCACAGATCAGAAACACACAAGCTTAGGAAATCCACTACTCAGCTGGCAGGGAAACTAGCCCCCAAATGTCTACTTCCTCCTTAGGTCACGTTTGTATACTAGCTCATGAGCTAAATCCACTCCTCCGAAACTCGAGTGAACCCGCTGCCTATTCCCCTTCTCCCAACTTAGGCCGTGCGTTCGGGCAAGTCTTTTCACCTGTGTGCCTCAGTTTCCACACCGGTAAAATGATCCTTTTCTGTTTAGAACTCCACATTCTATAATTCCAAACACTGTCTGGAATTAATACAAGACACACCCTGTGATGGGAGGCCCAGTGTGACTCAGTGGTGCACATGTGCCGAGTGCCTATGAAGAACTCAGCGTTGGGGTCCAAAGTGGCTCCCGCCGGAGGTCATGGCGCTCGCGAAGGCGAGGTCATCAGTTCAAGGCTAACCTGAGCAACCTCATAAGCTCAAACTGATTGGCAAAAAAAAAAAAGAACTCAGCGCTGCGAGGTGGCTGTTCTGGCCCCGCCCAGTGAGTGGCTAACCCACCTCCGAGGCCCTCTTCAGACCAGTTTGAATTCCTACCGTGCATCCCCACCTCATCTGACACTGCTGCTTCCAGGCTGCCTACCCCGACCTCAGCCAGTGGGCGCCCAGGAATTGTGACTGGATTTTAACTTCGGCCCAAGCAAGATAAAACCAGGCAAGTTCAGTCTGCTCCCAAACACTCCTGGGACTTATTCTGAGGCCAAAGAAGGTGAGTTTTGAATTAGTTACTATTTTCAGACAACATGGGGTAGGGAAAGAGACAGATTTTCTTCTTTGTCTTCTGCCCAGGCTCTCCCCAAGGCAGAGAAGGCAAGAAGAGGGGAGGAGGAGGAGCAAAGGGAAATGTATGTGCTTAAGAGACTAGCAGGGGCTGGAGCTTTGGCTTTTGCCTGAAGTGGCAGATCATCGCAAGCCCCTTAAAGATGATGGGACCAGTTCCCTGGTGTTTCCTCCTGCATCAAGCCTGGCTCCCAGGACCTTCAGCATCTTTATGTCTCATGGTAAGATGGTTCCACATCTGGATGGACTGACTGGGATCCTGCCCCAGAGCCCCATCATTGACTCACTCAGCCATGCAAACACATTTCGAAAAGTGCCTAGTTTGTGCCGGGCTCTGTGCTAAATGCTCTGGGGAACGCAAAGAAGTATCAGAATCCTGTCCTCAAGAAACTGATGCCTCAGAGATATCATCTATTCTAGAGAAAGAGGCTTCCTGGTCAATTTTAGCCAAAAAACCCTCATTTATTTCAGTGAATACATACTGAATCCTCCCATGAAGTGCCAGGCACTGCGCCAGGGGTTTACGAGTTGTCCTTGTATGAAGTGCCAGTGATCTACAGTGGACTTGGGATGAGGTTTCCCTAGGTCTTAAATCTGGCTCTATCCAAAAATGCTTGAAGCTCCATCACACTGGTTTCCTCAGCACTTTTCAGTTCATGTGTACCTATGAGCACACACTAGAAGGGGGCCTTGGAGATGGCGAGGCAAGGGCTGGACACCTTGAGTTGCCTGTAGGAGGGGATTAGAGGGACCACTCACTTCCTACATGGCCATCACCAGTGAGGAAGGCCAAGGAGAGACTATGAGGTCAGGGAAGAGCGGAGTGTGGAGGGAGAGGGGAAATTATGGGGATGGAACTGACAGGGTTCTCTCTCATGCCATAAGGGTTGACAGCCATTGCTCCTGTTTTCCATGCTGGGAGAGAGGCATCATAAGGGAGGATCTCACATATTATTCCCACACCTACCCAGCCCCTGGTGGTTGGTTGACAGCCTCCTGATATGTAGCAGGGGCAGAAGGGATAGAGTCCTTGACCTTCCTTTTGAAGTAAGTTCATCCCAGTGCACACATCACTAACCAGCTAATGGGAGCCAGCCTTGGACCATAAATGTGTGGTGGATATTCCACTAGCAGAAAACCAAATCATCACATCTCAAGAAGCAAAAGGAGAAGGCTGATGGGTAAGAATACTGGCCAACGTTTACTGGGACTCTACTATGTGCAATTCATATATATTAACTCGTCTAATCATCACAAGAACCACCCTGTGGGATTGGTGTGTTATTCTCATTTTTCCAAATGAGGAAGTTGTGGTATGGAAAGGTTAAGCAAGTTGCCCAAGGTCACACAGCTAATAGGTGGGGGATGACGTGTGCCTGGGACAAAAGCCCCCATCGGAGCAGAGCCCTAGTGCTGTCTTGCCTCTGCGTTAGTGGAATAGGAAGTCTGTACTTATTTCCTCTGGCTTGATGCCACTGACAACTTTCAGACTAACAGGCAGAGAAGCATGTACGTGAAACCTCTTCCTGTCTCTTTGCCGAATCCTATTTCCCAGAGTGTGAAACGCACTTCCCTCCTGCCAGCCACAATATGGCCTGATTATGCCTAATAAGACACGGGTTTCTAGTCAGCACGAGCTCAGCTGCTGCGTACAGGAGAGACACGGGGACTCTGCTTTTAGCCCAGGCTCCTCCTGTCCAGGGCATCTGCTGTGGGGCCTGAGGCCACAGATGACACAGAGCCCATGTGTGGCCCCTTCTCCCAACCCTGGCTCCTCTGCTCCATTCCCCCTGGTGGGGTGGGGTCTGGGGAGGAAAAGAAAGGGTAAAAAGTGAAGAGAGGTGCTCCCATTGTCAAGTATTGGAGCTGCCAAAGCCAACAGATGTGGGAGGCCAAGGGAAAGGGCGACCCCACTAGTGGAGCTAAGGGGATGGTCTAAGCTCTCTCCCTATACTCCTGCCTCCCGGAACAGCAGTTGAGGAATGAGGAGTAGAGAATGCAGAGCTAGCTGCACCAGGCAAGGGCACTGTGATGATTAATTTTATGTGTTGCCTTGGCCAGGTCAAGGCCACAGGGTGTCCAGGTATTTGGTCAAGCATGACTCTGGGTGTGTCGGTGAGGGTGTCTCCTGATGAAGTTAACATTTGAATCAGCAGACTGAGTAAAGCCGATGGCCCTCCCGAATGTGGGAATGCCTCATGCACTCTGTTAAATGCCTGATTGGGACAAGAAAGGTGGACCCTCCTGCAAAGAAGAGAAAATTCTTCCTTCCTGACTGCTTTGAGCTGGGATATTAGTCTTTCCTGGCCTTCAGACTCTAACGGAGTCTTAGGTCATCAGCTCTTAGGTCTTGAGCCTGATGGCTTTTGTACTGGAACTGCACACCCGCTCTCCTAGGTCTCTGCAGCTCTTGAGACTCCTCAGCCTCCATCATCACGCGAGCCAACTCTCATATTAAATCTCTATCGCTCTACATCCTGTTGGTTCTGTTTCCCTGGAGAACCCTGACTAATACAAGCACCATAAATATTCATTGGTAGGGACCTGGCTTGGAGGTTGGTAGGTTGGGTTTTTGCATGTAACGGGTGGTTCTGAGTCAAAGCGTTTACATTCTTGCCTCTCAGCTTCCAGGGAGGATTCAAATGGCCCCTGAAATGCAGCCTTGAGCAGGGAACTCAGCATGCAGGCACTTCTCTGGCCAAATATTCCTAGACATGGCCTGTCTTTTAAAGCTTGAAATTAAAGTCCATGCTCAGAGCTCTTCATTCTTTCCCAGCTCTGTCCATGCTGTGGGGCTGAAAAGAACCGTACTGCGTGAAAGGTTGAGCATGCTTTATCTCCGCCTTGCAGAGAGCAGCTTCCTTGAGTGACTAGATGCAACAGAGTCTGGGGAAAAACAGTGGCTGCCTCTGCCAGTTTTCTGCCTTCAAGAAGGAGGAGTTCCCTCATGACATGTAGTCTCTGCGGTTCTTCAAGGTTTCCAAAGAGGATACCACTATGAGCTTCTCACTTATCTAATCCGATGTTGGCTCACCCAGAAAATTTCAAATCCTTGAATTCCAAGGAGAGTCGATGTTTCTGCAATGCAGACTTGAGTAGGTGCATCCAGGACAGGCGGGTGAGGCAGGGTGGTGGTGGGTGGGAGCACTCAGTGGTGGTGTCTGGGTTCAATCCCAGCTCCGACACTTGCCATCCGTGAGAGCTTGGGAGAGTTACTTAATTTCCTCATTTGAAAGAATGGGATGATTTTAGTGGTCCCCTCCTAGGGTTGCTCTGAGGATCGAATGAAATTATGTATGTATATATAGTGATTGGCTGACCTATAGTAGCACTATATTCTTAGTACATGTACTAGATGTCTTTAAGTCAGTGGAATAGTTTACCCTTCTTTGTGTCTCCCACTGAGGCTAGAACTTGCCTGGCATGCTAAGAATTATATCTCTAATAATAATACAGGGAGAAGACAAACGTTCTGATTTCAGATCTTACTCATTGCCAGGAACAGCAGTGGATACTTGAGACATGGTCTTGGTCCTGAAGGACTTAGAAATTATGTTATGAAGCCCTATCTACTGTCACCATTGTTGGTTATAAACTGACAACTGCCACTGGAGGAGAGGTACAACTGACAACACGGTGGGGGCCATGGAGAGTTCAGCCAGCCAGGGTGAAATCGACCCACAGCACCTGTGGGATGTGAAGTGCTGTGGGATGTAGGCTGACTCACCTGATGCCTCAGGTGGACGGAAGGTGCCCATCTACTCCAGGACAGGGATTGAGAGAGAGGCACTCTGAATGGCAACGAAAAAAGTTTGAGGTTTCCTACTGGGACTTTTTTGCTAGTACCATATAAATACGGTTTAGGAGCACAGTGTCTTAATAAAGGAGAAGGAGGAAAAAATAATCCGGAGAGAAATCAACTTATGGCTCATTTAAACCTTATTGAAATTTCTACCGTGGAAACATTTAAATATCATAGTTACTGCAGTGTGCCTTCGCTCCTGCTATTCCCTGGTGGATGTTTCGTTGCACATTTGGTTGGGGAGCAGAATAATAAAGCTGCTTGGAAATTGCTTTCCCACTGCTAGGTAATTACAACAGGTTTTTATTCCAAATGTAAAGAATGAACCGTTTATTTTTATTTTTTTAATAAAGGAAGCTCTCGGTCTGTCCCAGCCCCCTCCGCTGGCAAGCCTCGGTCTGCCCTGGCCCTTAGCTCCCACGTCCTCTGTCACACTTCCCAACATGACCTCCTCGTTTCCTGCCTTTCCTCTGAGATGCAGCTGGAAGCAGCTCTCCCATCTCAGCTGCTGGCTCTGTCTCCCAGCCTGGAAGCCTTGCGTGTCACTGTTTAGAGAAAGGGACGGCCCCCACCCCAGGTCTCTGTCAAGGACATTAAATATTTAGCTTGACTCCATCCAGGCCATCAGACACACTCCTGTCTCTCTTTCCTGCCCAGAGAAACACATTTCCGCACCTCCATCTGTTTTTAATCCCAAGCAAGCAATTCGGGATTAACTCGGCATTTGTCAGCTCTGTCTGAGCACAGGCGTGAGCTCCTCGGCTTTCTCCCACCAGACAGAGCAGAGAAAAAGTGCCCTTGTGCTTTCAGATGCACACTTGAGCCTGGCAGCCAAGTGAGCACCTGCCCAAGGCCAGGCGGGCACAGGTCCCAGCAGCTGCCTGCACAGGGCTTTGCTGTCTCTGGTCTCCCCTGCCGCCAGACATATTTGTTTCTTTCCTAACCCCTGTTGCTTCTGGATGCTGCGGGCAGAAAAGTGAATCCTCTTTGAGCTACATCACCTCCAGTGTCTCTAGGAGGGAGAAGTCACTCAGCAGCCTCTCCACCTCTGGTGACTTAAAGGGAGTCTGGGGCAGCCGCTGGGGCGGGGCAAAGAGCCGGGCCGTGGAAGTCAGTTCATTCTGCAGCCATGTGGCTGAGCACTCTCTTTCCCTCTCTCGGCCTCGGTTCCCCTCTCTGTAAAATAAAGCAGCCTAGATATCTTTGTATCCCTTTAAACTATAGTACCCCACAACTGGACATTTCAATGATGTGCGCTGAATCCATTATCTGCTGTTTTGCCCTGTCCATTGCCACATGTGAGAACAGATCTAGAGGCCTGCAGCCAGACAAAAGCACCAGGCTTGGCTCAGAGTCACGTGGCGGGGAGGGGTCCCCATTAATGATCAGGTGTATTCCTGGGAATGGAATGCCATGGGACCCTGGAGAACTGAAGAAATAGGAATGGAGTCCCAGCAGCTGTGGAGGGAGGCGAGCAGGTAGCCTCTCCAGGACAGGCTGGCTGCTGGCTTTTGGAGCTAGCCCCTGTATCCAGTTTCTAGCCCTGACCCACAGGAAAGCCACTAAACTCTCTGAGCTCTGGTTTTCTTTATGTGTTTAATGAGGTGACCTCCCATGCCCAACTGAGGAATATTGATGAGAAAGTGAAAACATTTTTCTTTGGGAAGGAAAAGAAGCCAGAGGTCCAGTGGGGAAACCGAGATATGGGGCACTGCTCATAGTCTAGGAGTAGCGACTACGGGTAGGCTGGAGTGCAGCCGGGCCTCTCGTGTTTGGTTTGGACATGCAACATGGCCCGGGCCACTTCTTGATGTGGGGGTTAGAGAAAGATGACCTGCTGCTGGTCTTCCTCATCCCAGGCCTGGAACCTCTGAGGAAGAGAACACTGTGGGGACTTGAAGGCCAAGAAGTGGCCTGGAGGGGAAGTTCTGTTGTCTGCTCCTGCTTCGGGTGGTATGTGAAGGTGACAGTGCGGGACCGCATCTCAGGGTGTGAGTGAAGGCTGGGGCCCGGGCCCCAATGTGCACTGAGGCTGGCTTCTGAGGTGTGGCCAGCTCAGTGCAGGGGGCGACGGCGTGGGGGATGGGAGGAGAGCAGCGGCTGTGCTGGGGGCGGACAAAGGGAGAAGACAAAGATTATTTTAAACCTGTATTAATCACTGCTCCAAACAGGGACTGGGGGTGGGAGCCGCAGCTGTCATAGAGAGGCTGGGTGAGGGTGGTAGAAGAGAGTCCAGCAGGGAGGGGCGGAACTCTTTTTTCCACCCCAGGACGTTGGCCCAGCCCAGCTGTGAGCCTGGGGCCTTGCTGAATCTCTGTGGCTTGCTCAGAGTCCAGAGCAAATACATAGTAAAAACTAAACTGTGGTTCCGTTTCCTGGGCCAACTTGTCTTCCTACTTCCAGGTGCCCTCCTTGAGAGCCCACCCACCACTGTTGCCAAGAGTTAGCCTAAAACAGTTTGAATCAAGTCATTTTTCTCAAATGATAGTAATAATAGCTTCCCATTCCCCAAACAACTGGCCACCTCCTTGGCCTGGCAGACAAGGCTCTTCACAGCTGGTCCATCTGAACCTTCCAGCCCCGACTCCCGCGGGCGTAACAGTGATTGTTCCCTAAGCACTTGCCATGTGCCAGGCACTGAGCCAATGCTTTCATCTGTGACTTCACTGAATACTCACTTCCTTCCACCTTGTAGGTTCCTTTCTACAAATGAAGAAACGGAGGCTTAGAGGCGTTAGATAACTGAGATCTGTCTGATACACAAGCTTACACCCTTAACTTCCTGGAGAGGAGCACAAACAGGCATCACTCCCTGCTTTGCTCAGCTCTTATCTCACCGTCTCCTCTGTCCCTTTTGCCCTTATGAACATCCTCCTCATTCTTCAGGGCTCATCTCAAATGCCACCTATTTAAAGAAGTCTCCCTGGCTGGAATTCAACCATGGACTCAATAAGCATTTAATATTCACTGCCATTTAGATAGGTCTTATTATCTCCATTTGATAGATAAGAAAACAGAGGCTTAGAAACGAAGCTAAGTATCTGTGTTTACACAGCTACTGAGTGACAGAGGAGGGATGCAAGGCCAGGTCTCCTGACAGCCCCAAATCCAGCATTCTTCAAAATACTTTGAACCACATCAGTGACTCTCCCTTTATGCAGCCACAGTCCTTTGTCTGAGCCTTTATTCAGTGCTTATCAGATTCTGCATGTCTGATATTGGTGTTAGGATATGAGAATCCCCAATAATAGCTGGAATATCAACTTACTACATGTGCAAGACATTGCAGATGCTGATTTTCCCCCCAACTCTGAGGCGGGTATTGCTTTCTCCATTCTTAAAGATGAGAAACTAATTTTCTGAGGCAGTAAGTATTATCTGGTTCGTGCTGCCTCACCATCTCCATGGGATTCCAATCTGTCTCAAGGTCATGCTTCCCATTACACAGGGTGCCTCCTGTAGGCTCCTCAACAGGTGGGTCCCTGCTTTATTTTTCCCAAAATGGATAAGACCCTCATAGCATCTTGGGTAGAGCAGGAGGTCAGTGAATATGGAGATGGGCCATTTCTGGCTGGGAGTATTCGTCAGCCACTATAGTCTCCTTGGGGATACTGGGGCTCGGGGCTCTGGGAACACCAACAGATCCTTCTTTAAAGTTTCAATTCAATTCTCTTGGACTCAGTCTTCTAAACAGGTGTTGGTGGGAGTATTTTTTCCTCCATTGATCAAGGTTTTTCAGATGTTACAATAGGGGCACTGATACCTCCCTAAGTGGGAAATGACCACATTGAGAGGGGGAGGGAGAGCTGCCCTGCTGTGCTGGACATTCCCCAGGACTTCCCAACTTTCTGTAGGTTCTGTGCATTCCAGACTGGGGTGGGAGACAATGGAGGGAGAGGAGCCAGATCCGAAGTCATTGCCAGGGATGTGAGCAGTCCTAGGAAACAGGAGAGAAAGCACTAGAGAGGAGACCACCCTGAGAGATCTCCATGGAGCAGGGCACCCTTGGACAAACTTATTCCCATGAGAGGAGCAGTCCTCCAAATCTGAGGACTCTCCCCATGAGACTGGAGAGTTTTAATTCAATCAGATGATATTTTCATTCCATCAGAGATTTTTCTCTTGCCAAAAAAGAATTGTATGTAATATAACTTTTGAAAGTTTTTTTTTTTTTTTTTAAGACGGGATCTAACTCCATCACCCAGGCTGGAGTGCAATGGTGTGATCTCGGCTCACTGCAACCTCTGCCTCCCGGGTTCAAGCGCTTCTCCTGCCTCAGCCTCCCGAGTAGCTGGGACTACAGGCACCCGTCACCACACCCGGATAATTTTTGTATTTTTAGTAAAGGTGAGGTTTCACCATCTTGGCCAGGCTGGTCTTGAACTCCTGACTTCAAGATCCACCTGTCTCGGCCTCCCAAAGCACTAGGATTATAGGCGTGAGCCACCGTGCCCAGCCTGAAAAGTTTTTGGAACCAGCATGGATTCATTAAGACTAGGTGACACCAAATTAATCTTTTAACTTAAAAAAAAAATTGGTGAAGGTGGGTGGATCACGAGGTCAAGAGATCGAGACCATCCTGGTCAACATGGTGAAACCCCGTCTCTACTAAAAATACAAAAAATTAGCTTGGCATGGTGGCGTGTGCCTGTAATCCCAGCTACTCAGGAGGCTGAGGCAGGAGAATTGCCTGAACCCAGGAGGCGGAGGTAGCGGTGAGCCGAGATTGCCCCATTGCACTCCAGCCTGGGTAACAAGAGCGAAACTTCGTCTCAAAAAAAAAAAAAAAAAAATTGGTAAGGTTCTAAAGCAGGGTTTCTCAATCTTGGCACTATTGACATTTGGCATGCTAATTCTTTGCTGGGGGTGAATGTGCGGATGGGGGCGGTCCTGTGCACCCTGGCCTCTACCCACTAGATGCCAGTAGCATCTCCCCACCCAGTCATATGACAACCAAAAGTGACTCCAGACATAGCCGAATGTCCCCTATGGTAAAAATCTTCCATAGTTGAGAACCACTGTTCTAGTCTGATAAATCAGGAAGCTTCTCTACACCTAGTTGTGTCGTGAGATATTTGATAGATTTGGATTTGACATTCTCCTTGTGACTAAGGAGGAGGAAGGTGGGCTGAGAATGAGCCTAGTTAGCTGTCCCAGTAACCAGCAGGACACTGCACCACGTACGTGTTGATTTATGATGGGCATCAGCCTGGGCACGTCCACAGTCATAAACCTCCAGCGAACACAACTCTTATCAACAACTCGAACGAAGACGATGATGGCATGCTTATCATACGTACAAATGTTACGAGACTGGTAGACGTGAACCTTTGTCAGACGGAACGCTGAAGATTCTCAGGGATTCCAGACGTTGTTCGTGAAGAAAACACACTTCCGATCAGTGTGCACCACACGTTCCCGTTTGTGTAAAAAGTGAGTCAGATGTTAAGAACGAATATTGATACTTGCTTACGGCTGCATAAGGAAGCCCCAGAAGGGTACATGAGAAACTAAGAACAACATGGTCATTACTTATGTGGAGGGAAGGTCGACTGGGCAGATGAGGAACAAGCATGGTATGGGAACTTTTCCCTTACCCGTTACGTCTTTTCATTTCTGAACGTGATAGTGCATTATCTACTCAAGTAATGTGGTTAAAAATGGATCTCAACCTATAGTGTGGCTGAAATCAAATGCAATGCAACTGAACAGATGCAAACCAATCCTGTGTTAATTTCAAAGATGAACTTGGCAATGATGATGAGTTTGAGATGTTAATGTGAAAATCAGGGAGGAGGTTCTGGTCACAGGCCGCAAAGTCAAACCACAAGCAGACCCACCAGCACACACACGGAAGGCCTGGGCTGTTGACGGGGCCAACGCCCCATTGCACTCTGGGCAGGTTAGACCAAATTCGGTCTTACCTTCACTTCCGTCCTCTGTATTTTTGGAAAGACATTGACAAGTGTGTACAAAGGACACTGACCTAGATGCCAAAGGTCTGGAAACCATGAAGAACGCAGGAAAGAGGTGATGAAACTCGGGACATTTAAATTGGAGAAGAGAAGATTTAGAAGGGATGTGGAGCCCGTCTTCAAACATTTGAAGGCTTGTCCTGTGCAAGAAGGATTAGGGAGTTCTTATGGAGCCCCAGATTACAGAACCAGGCCCTCTGCAATTTATTGAGAGGCCAATTTCAGTTTAGAACCCTGCGAAGGCTGCCTTGTGAGATAATAACAAAGCAGCAACACTCAGTGAGCACTTACAGAGCATCAGGCCCCGTGCTAAGCACTTTCCCTGACTTTTCACCACATCCCGGCCAAGGGACTTACTTCACTGTCATTTTAACCAAAAGAAAAAGGAGGCTTAGAGAGGTTAAGCAAACAGGCCTGCGGTGACACAACCAGTAGAGGGTGGATTTGTGTGACCCCAACACACAGGTTCCTGACCACTAAGCCTCCTTCCTGAAGCAGTGAGCTCTGTACCGGTGTGAATGGAGAGGCAAAGACTGCCTGGCCACGAGGCTCTTAGGAAATACTCGGAGCAGGTGGGAGAAGCCTGTTTCATGCTAAACACACCGTAGTCCTCTCAGAAAACAAGCCCTGTGTGTGTGGCTCTGCCAGGGAAAGGAGCGAGGCATACACGGAGAGAGAGGCAAGCAGGTGTGGGGCAAAAGTGGAGTTTTTGGAGTGAGGCATACACGGAGAGAGAGGCAAGCAGGTGTGGGGCAAAAGTGCAGTTTTTGGAGTGAGGCATACACGGAGAGAGAGGCAAGCAGGTGTGGGGCAAAAGTGCAGTTTTTGGAGTGAGGCATACACGGAGAGAGAGGCAAGCAGGTGTGGGGCAAAAGTGCAGTTTTTGGAGTGAGGCATACACGGAGAGAGAGGCAAGCAGGTGTGGGGCAAAAGTGCAGTTTTTGGAGCGAGGCATACACGGAGAGAGAGGCAAGCAGGTGTGGGGCAAAAGTGCAGTTTTTGGAGCGAGGCATACACGGAGAGAGAGGCAAGCAGGTGTGGGGCAAAAGTGCAGTTTTTGGAGCGAGGCATACACGGAGAGAGGGGCAAGCAGGTGTGGGGCAAAAGTGGAGTTTTTGGAGCGAGGCATACACGGAGAGAGAGGCAAGCAGGTGTGGGGCAAAAGTGGAGTTTTTGGAGTGAAGTATACACGGAGAGAGAGGCAAGCAGGTGTGGGGCAAAAGTGGAGTTTTTGGAGCGAGGCATACACGGAGAGAGAGGCAAGCAGGTGTGGGGCAAAAGTGGAGTTTTTGGAGCGAGGCATACACGGAGAGAGAGGCAAGCAGGTGTGGGGCAAAAGTGCAGTTTTTGGAGTGAGGCATACACGGAGAGAGAGGCAAGCAGGTGTGGGGCAAAAGTGGAGTTTTTGGAGTGAGGCATACACGGAGAGAGAGGCAAGCAGGTGTGGGGCAAAAGTGGAGTTTTTGGAGTGAGGCATACACGGAGAGAGAGGCAAGCAGGTGTGGGGCAAAAGTGGAGTTTTTGGAGCGAGGCATACACGGAGAGAGAGGCAAGCAGGTGTGGGGCAAAAGTGGAGTTTTTGGAGCGAGGCATACACGGAGAGAGAGGCAAGCAGGTGTGGGGCAAAAGTGGAGTTTTTGGAGCGAGGCATACACGGAGAGAGAGGCAAGCAGGTGTGGGGCAAAAGTGGAGTTTTTGGTGGAGGTGGTGGTCTGCAGAGGTCAAAGTGTTGAATGCCAGGAGAAATGCTGCCCAGCACTGAAGAGCTGTCCCTTCGGTCCACAGAGGCTTGGCAGCACTTACAAGTCATTGGGTATTATGCTTTCTGACTCACAAAGCCCCTTTGAGGGCGTACCTCATGTAAGCAATCACACCTTGTGAGAAAACATAACTCTGGCAGGTGGAAAGGGCTGGGGAGAAGTTTCTCCAGAGATGGAAGCGGGAGAATCACAAAAGCAAGAGAATGATTTGGTGGTGGTCATACCAGCAAAGGACGAAGAGGGGAAGGTGAGAGAGGAGAGAAAAAGTACCTCAGGCTTCCCAGCCTCCTCTGGGGCCCAGCCAGAGCAGCTCAGCTGCCCCCAAGGACTTAACAATATTTCCAACCTAAACAAGCTCCACAAGGCAAATGACCCCCAGGCCATTGCCTGATTCCTCTATCACAGGGAACGGGGTAGACTTTTACCTGCTGGAGAAAGGAAGAGCCAAGAAGGTAAGCCAAATTTAAAGCCAGCTGAAACAGAGCAGATAAGCCCAGGGGATGCGTGGAGCTCTATGGTTATCTGATGTGCTGGCTGGAAAAGAGGAAGATGAGTGGCACTTAAATGTGAGAGGGAACTGCTTCAGAGCGTCCAGGAGGGAGATTCATGCTCAGTGAGAAGGAACTGGGGAGAAGAACTTGTAATTTGGAGAGGGGTCTCCCAGGGAACCCATGCACACAGCAGACTCGGAAAACTAACATGACGTCTAGAGCTATAATCATATGCCTTAGACCCAACTACAGGGACTGCTCTGGCAGAAGGAGAAAAGTCCCAGGTCCCAGCAAAGGCTGGGAGCCACCAGACAAGCCAACACAGTGGACCTAGCACAAGGTATCCCCGGCTGGGTGGACCAGAGTGATGGGCAGACCACGGTCCAGAGAGGGCAGAGGAGCTGGGAGGACAGGGACTGGAGGCAGCCTCTGCTCAGACCAGAAGCCAGTGTCACTGCGGGAACCCTGACTGTGGGGTGAAAGGGAAGAGGGGTGGGACTGATGCAGTGGGTGCCTGGCAGGAGAGGCAGAGCGTTGCCCTGCCCAGGCCAGAGGCCAAGAGAAGAAGCTGGAGGTGGTGGGGATCGTGGTAATTACAAGAGAAGAAGGCAGCTATGGTGACCACTATGCCACCAATCGTTTGAACCTGGGAGGCAGAGGTTGCAGTGAGCCAAGATTGCACCATTGCACTCCAGCCTGGGTAACAAGAGTGATGCTCCATCTCAAAACAAAACAAACAAACAAAAAATCAAGACAGGAAGAAGAGAAATAGGAGGGGAAGGAAAATGGCAAAAGAGAGGCTGTGTAAAGGAGCTGGAAAGGAGGATGAGGGCAAAGATTACGGAGGCAGATGACACCCAGAGGGAGCCAGAAGCAAACTGAGACAGTGAGATGGAGACCCAGGTAGAGAGAAACCCAAAGATAGAAACCTCTGCGGGAGCAACCCAGAGACAGAACAACAGAGAAGGGGCAGCACAGAGGCGAGTGTGCACTGAGAAAGGGAAGAGAAGAAAGAACCCTGGGCTCTGGTGAGGTGAGGCTGCAGAGGAGAGGAAGGAAGTCCCTCCTGCCCTCCTGGCACTCGCTGGAAGCAGCTTTGCTAATGAGGGATTTTTCTTGGGTTGTGTCTGCGAGGGAAACGGGGGAGGGGGTGTCAGGGGTCAGTTTATCCGGGAACTTCTCTAGATCAGGGCTGTTTATCTCAATGTAGTGAGTTCGTCTGGGTAAGTGGAGACGGCGTGGCTGCAGGGCTGGGGTTCACCGTACTGTTTTCCGCAACCCGCTGCTCTTCTCTGGACCAGCCACACACAACAGACATAACCACCATAAATGAACAGAGGCCTGCCCTCAAAATGCAGGGGGAAGACGCCCCAGCCTTTCCAATGGGTCTGCCCCATGGACTGACTGATGGCCTCTGGCCCTGCTAAAGCAGGGAGGAGACCAGGATGGGACCCTGGCACCTGTTAGTCCCACTGCCTGCAATGCCTTCACCCAGATAATCACTCTACAGGCATTTATGGAGCACGGGCTCTGTCCTAGATGCTTGGAATATCACCGCACAAGACAAAGATACATGTTCTTGTAAAGTGCAGGAAGCTGAGCTTCTAGTAAAGGAAGGTTCACTTAAATAGGTAAACCACACCACCTGCGGGAAGGTAAGAAATCTTTTCTTTTAAATCATTTTAGGAGATTTATTTTGCAAAGTTAAGACGCACCCAGGAGAGAGGTCTCTGCCTGTCTCTGTTATTTTGAGGGCTCCAAATGTAAATGGGGAGGGGCAGGATATTGAGAAGAACATGGTTTTCACACAAACAAAACGAACAGAGGAAAAATGTAAGGAATCTGCATTTTATATAAGATAACACAGACAAAATGGGGCAGGGGAACAATCAGATTACTCAAGTTGGAAGGTAAGAAATTGGATGGAGGAAAACAGCAGAGCAGAAGAGGGGCAGGAGGCCTGGGGAGGTCCGCAGTAGCATCTGAGGGGGATGGCCCTGAGGATCTCTGAGACGTGTGCATTTCAGGCAGTGGGAACAGCCAAGGAAAATGTCCTGAGGCAGAAGCATTCCTGGAACTTTGAGGCACAGCAATCAGAACGGCTAGTAGCGAGGGACCAGGAGCAAGAGTAGCAGGCAATGGCTCCAGCGCGGCCGTGGGAACCAGACCATGGGGGACCTTGAAGGACACTGAGGAATTCAGCGTTGCCTCTGGAGGAAATGGAGAGGCATTGTAGGGTCCTGGGCAGAGGAAAACATGCTCTGCCTTAAGTTTGCAAAGGGTCATGGTGGCAGTCAGGATGAGCAGATAAGGAGTCAGGAATTCCAGTGAAGAGCAGTCAGGAGGACATTACAGGAAGCTGAAGATGGAGATGCTGAGAGGGGTCAGGTTCTGAGTGTGTTCTCTGGGAAGAGTCAGCAAGGTGTCTTGGGAAGTTGGATGTCGGTGTGAGATTGACAGAGGCTGACTGTCAGGCTCTGTCTGTGTATAGGCTTTTGGCTTTAGCACCTGGAAGGATGGAGTTCTCCCTCAGTGAAGATATATGGGTGGAGCAGGTTTGGGCCAGGCAGCTGGCGAGAGAAAATCAGAAGTTCGGTTTTGGGCCCATTGAGTTTGAGATGTTTATGAGTCACCTAAGAGGAGAGGCAAAGAACTCAGAAGGGTGTGTAACTCTGCAGTTGGGGAAAGAGATTGGCAATGGAAATATAACACCAGAGTCTTAGCATTTGGAGTTTTTGTTGTTGTTTTTGAGACACAGTCTCGCTCTATTGCCAGGCTGGAGTGCAGTGGCGCGATCCTGGCTCACTGCAACTTCCGTTTTCCAATTTCAGGCAATTCTCTTGCCTCAGCCTCCCGAGTAGCTGGGACTACAGGCATGCACCACCACACCTGGCTAATTTTTTGTACTTTTAGTAGAGACGGTGTTTCACCATGTTGGCCAGGCTGTGGAGTTTTCACTGTGGGAGACTAGAAGAGATGGCCAGGGAGTGAGTATAGCTAAAGAAAAGGACCAAGAACCCGATCCTGCGCTCTCCTGCTCAGGAAGGAGAAGAGAAGCCAGCAAGAGACTGATAAAGAGTGAACAGTAAGGTGGGGAGACCTGGAGAGTGTGGTGTCCTAGAAGCCTGGAGAAGAAATTAGAGTGTGATGTTAAGGAGAAGAAAATAACCAACTGGCTCAACCATCCCTTACCTGAGACTCATCAGGTAAGACGAGAGGTGAGAAGTGAGATCTAGCAACATGGACGTCACGGTGACCTGGATAAGAAGGGTTTCGGGAGAGTGGTGTAGGTGAAACCCTGAGTGGGGTGGCTTTGAGGGGCATGGCACTGACAGGCAGCATGGCAGAGTGACTGAGAGCACCGGTCTGGGCACCAGCCTGCCAGGGGTCAGATGCCAGCTCTCCACTCACCAGCCGTGTGACTGTAGGCAAGCTGTTTAGCTGTTCTTTGCCCCATTTCCTAACCTGAGGCCACCTACTTCACAGGGCTGTTAGGAGGACAAAACCACTTGGTGTTTGTAAAGGGTTGGGTGCCTGGGCAGCACAATAAATGCTTACCAAGTTAAAAAGAAGAAAGGAAGGGAACGGGCAAGAGATGAATCAGACCATTCTTTTGAGGTGGTTTTGCTGCAAAGAGAAGGAAAGAAATGGTGAGAGTCTGTTTGCAGGGAAGTAGGGTAAAATGGAAGGTATTTTAGGAAGGAAGAAATAACAGAATGTCTGAGTGCCAGCCTGAATGGTCCATCAGGGAGGAGACTTCAAGGATGCAGAAGACTTGCTAGAGTAGTGTCAGGCACGAGGCACAGTACGGACTGCCCAAAAGCACAGACCCCGTGCGGCTCCCTCAGCTCCCTCAGGCCATACCCCAGCACCCTCTCAGGGAGACCGGCCCTGATGAGCTGTTTAACACTGCCCTCGGCCGTCCCGTCTCCCTCTCTGCTTCTCCGCTCTCCATCGCATGGGTTACCACCCAACTGAATCATGTCTTGTTTTGTCTATCCCACAGCCAGTGTGTAGATTCACTAAATGCAGGGATTTTTGTCTGACTTGTGGATAGTTGTGTCTCCAGAGCTGAATAAATGTTTTCTGAGTAAAGAATAAATTGGTATCTGTACTTAGGGAGTTTCTTGCCATCCAGGGAAGAAAAGTCCCCTTCATTTATTCTACACATACTTTCTGACCATTGATTGAGTTCCAGGAACTGTATTAGATCTTGGAGACTTGAAGATGAATCAGACACCATCCTTGCCCTTATTTAGCCTGCGTGTGTGTGTGTGTGTGTGTTGGGGGAGAACAAAAAAGACAAAGCAACTCCAAAGCTGTGTGATCAGTCTAAAAAGAGAGAGGTGTTCAGGGTCTTGCGGACTTCCGCATGAGAGACAGGGAAAAGCTTCTCAGAGAAAACGCAGCTGGAACCCGAAGAACAAAATGAGAGCTGACAATGGGGGATGAGGCAGGTGTTTGAGTGGTAGAGCAACACAGGTGGAGGCCTGGTGGGAGAGGGAGCATCCAAAGCTAGCCTCAGGGCTTGTGCACAAAGCCTGCCTGGCCGCTCGGCCCCCCAGACTCTCTCTCTGTCTCTCTCTCTCTCTCTCTGTCTCTCTCTCTCTCTCTCTCTGTCTCTCTCTCGTCTCTCTCTCTCTGTCTCTCTCTTCTCTCTCTCTCTGTCTCTCTCTCTCGTCTCTCTCTCTCTCTCTCACTCTCCTCTCTCTCTGTCTCTCTCTCTCTCTCTCTCTGTCTCTCTCTCTCTCGCTCTCTCTCTCTGTCTCTCTCGTCTCTCTCTCTCTCTCTCTGTCTCTCTCTCTCTCTCTCTCTCTCTCTCTCTCTCTCTCTCTGCTCCAACCCTAACATCTCATGTTGGATCATTTATTGGACATTGCCCTGGACGTTGCCATGAGCCAACTCTTCAATGTGTGACTCTTGACACCCCAGGCAGGTGGTTTTCCTTCTCAGGGAAGGGGCTCTGGTGCGCATAGCAGCAATTCATATGCAATAAGAGCTCGAGAGTCATTTGCTTACAAAATAATTCTTGAGGGCCTACCACTTGAGTGCCAGGCTCTTTTCTGGGCACAAGGGAGGAAGCTGTGAACAAGACAGACCAGGCCATGGTTTCTGGAACTACAGTACGTTCTATGTGGGAAGATTTATACAATAAATAAGTGAACACATACGCTAAAGATAATACAGTGCTACGCAGAGACTACCAATGGGTAACGTGATCGAGTGGGGCTCCCCTGGACTGGTAATCAGAAAAGAGCTGACATTTAAGTGATTGATTAATTCATGTCTCTGACATTTAGGCTGAGACTGAATGATAACTATCTACCAAACCAATTAATGAACAAAAGGGAAGTAGGAAGGAAGACTTTCTGAAAAACCATATTCCCGGCAGATATGGAATTCAAACAGGGAGCCCAAGGGCTGAGAGGACACAGCAAAGTGTCCTCTAAGATCCAAGAAGACTTCCTGGAGAAGGTGAGTTTTGCTCACCTTTGACTTGCAAAAGTGAGTAGATAGCTTGGCTTTTTTGCTTAAGCGATGACCAGAGAAGAAGGCTCTGTGTCAGCAGATGCTTATGGAGCGGATGCTCTGGGCTGAGCTGGCTGAGGACAGGCAGATGAGGAAGGAAGACCGTCCCTGCCCTCTGAAGGCTCACAGTCCAGAAGCAGGATCGGCAGGTAAACACGTAATTACAATAAACAATTATGTAGTTGATGAAGGCTATGGCAGCCCAGCAAGTACGGAGTCCTAAGTGGGAAGTTGTGAATTCTGCCTGGGCGAGACGGCTGAGAGAGGGGATGCGGGGTCTGGGGACACTTGACAGAGAAGGTGACATTTGAGTTGGGGCCTGCAGGATGACTAGGAGTTTGCTGGGAATCGGGGTGGGGGCAGGGAGAAGGCCCTCAGGAGGTGTCAGGGAGTGTGGAACGTGGAGAAGTGGTGGAAGAATGACAGCCTTGGTAGGAGACTCCGGGCACAGGCTGCAGAGGTGCAGCTGGAGAAGGTGTCTGTGCAGGTTGGGGACTGGGAATATTTCTGAAAATTCCTTATCTCTCTAAGGAATTCACATGTATATAAAGCCATTTTTTTTTTTTTTTGAGACAGAGTCTCACTCTGTCTCCCAGGATGGAGTGCAGTGGCGTGAACTAGGTTCACTGCAACCTCCGCCTCCCGGGTTCAAGCGATTCTCCTGCCTCAGCCTCCCGAGTAGCTGGGATTACAGGCACGCGCCACCACACCTGGCTAATTTTTTGTATTTTTAGTAGAGATGGGGTTTCACCATGTTAGCCAGGATGGTCTTGATCTCCTGAACTCGTGATCCACTCGTCTCGACCTCCCAAAGTTCTGGGATTCCAGGTGTGAGCCACCGTGCCCTGCCCATATGAAGTCATTTCTATAGTACAGGCAAGGCTAGAAAAGTCAACAGGACTTTCATGCCCCTATGCTGTGCTTCACGCTCTGTTAGGTGCTCCGTGGAGCCATCCCCTCTTTTGGGAAGCCAAGTCACCCCTCGACCTATCAGAGGTGAACAACCCAGGGCCCAAGTGACAGGAGTCATGGTGAGAAGGGGTCAGCTTTGAGATGGGCTTGAAGGTAAAGCCAGCATTGGTCTTTGACCCAAGCAACTGGGTTGATGGTATTGCCACTGACATGGGGATAGGGTCATATTTGGAGAGATAAGAACCAAGAGCTCCAGCTGGACACAGTGGGTTTGAGTTCCCTGCAGCTTGACGGAGAGGGCAGGACAGAAGAGAAGGTCCAGGCCTCCATCACTCAGCCTTTTTCTCCTTCTCCCTCCCAACTTCTTAGCCTTCTCCTGGGGGTCTCCGGTCCCCTCTGCTCCCCATAATCCTCCCTCCACACATCAGCCAGAGCGAGCTTTTAAAGTATGAAGAATTTCAAGTCAGCCAACTGCCCCACAGTCTCCAGTGGCTTTCCACCACATCTAAAGTACAGCCTAAATCTTCCCCAGCCTAAGAATGAGGGCACTGTGCTGTGGTTGAGGGCTCTTCTCAGATCCGTGTGCCTCTGCCTTACCCCCGTGTTCACTCCGCCCCAGCCTCGTGGCCTCCCTCCTTCTCTGAGGCGTGCCAAGCTCATTCCCATCATGGGGTTTCTGCTGTGTTCTGTGCTCTTTTTCCACCTAGAATGCTCTTCCCTTGGGTCTTTACAGAGCTAACTCTTTAGCATCAGACCCTTGGTCACTTTCTCCAGGAGGCCTTTCTTCATGACCCTGGTTTAGAGTTGTCTTTCTCTCCCACCCTACCCTGTTCCATCTCCTTTATAGCACTTTGCTTGAAGCTGTCTTAGTCATCTGTACGGTTATGTGTTTGTTTATCCCCCCACCAGCTGCAGCATGTAAGAGCAGGAACTTGGTCTTATTTTCGGCTCTACCCCAGATCCCAGCACAGTACTTGGCACTTAGTAAACAGTTTGACTCTCTTCCCGGGAACGAAGGATGGCAGGCGTGATGACTAGCAGGCTGTGCTGCACCACGGCATTGTGGGAAGCTCCTAGCTGGGGCTGGTGGAGGCTGCAAATGGCAGGGTCGTCAGGCCAGGAGCCATCCAGTGCCAAGGGTGTGGAGAAGGGATGGTGCTCTGGCTACCAGGACTATACCTACAAGGAAGGCCTCTGCCCTGTGCCTGCGGACCTTTCTGCAGATTTCTTTCTCCTAAACACATACCCAAAGAGATTCCTCCTCAGCCAAAGTCAGAGCAGCAGCAGCAGGAGGAGGAAGAGGAAACAGGAGGAGAAGGGAGAAGAGAAGGAAGAAAGTAGAGGGAGGGGAGAAGAAAGAGGAGAAAAGAGGGAAGGGAGAGGACTCAGGGAGGGAAGGGGAGGAGGAATGAAGAGGGAGGAGAGGGAGATGGGGAGAGGGGAGGAAGCAGGAGGCTGGGAAAAGAGGACAGGTGGGGAAGGAAAAGGAAGGGGAGGAGGGAGAAGTAGGGAGGGAGAAGGAGAAAAAGGGAGGAGAAGGAGGGAGATGAAGAGAAACGAGGGGGAGGAGGCAGGGGGAGGACGGAGAGGGAGGAGGTGGGGGAGGAGGGTTGATTCTACCTCAGCTGTGGGACCGGGCTGCAGACCAGACTGCCTGGGGGCTTCTCTGCCTTTGCCAAATCTGAGGTTCAAGGGGAGGCCCATGGGCAAGAGCGCCACACATTTTACATTCCCTTGGCCTCACAGAGCAAAGTGCACACCAAATGGGGAGGTGGAGGAATGGGTAATAAAAATTAAATTAAAGAAATTTTTTAAAGTTGGAAGAACAAATTATTTGGAGACGAAGCAAAAATATCTGTGACACAGCGAGCACTGTTTTAATGACAGCCCGTGTGGGAGGACAGTTTAGTCATATTTTTCATTTTCTTGTCCCTGGGGAGCTGCATCCCAGTGATCAGGGCTTCAGAGCAAGCTGGCATGTTCCCTAGATCAGTCACCTTCCAGGCTTATTCAGCGGCAGGATGAGTCAGGGGGCTGTGGAGTAACCCCTTCTCCATATGCTCAGGATGCGCCAGTGCGCCTGCCGGCGGGTGAGGGGGGGGGACAGTGGCGGGGGCCAGGGGGCTGGATGGGGAACAGGCCTTGGGCCCAGTGGGTGGGCAGGAAGCTTCGGAGGAAACGCTGCCAGCTCCTCCCGGGGCCAGCCGGCTGGTGCATCCCAGCCTCCCTCGAACTCCTGGGGGTAAGAGTATGACGAGTCCTGTGTCTGGGGCCACATCGAGTGTGGAAAAGGATTTCTTCGAAGAAAGCTTGGTTCGCTGCCAGGAGGAAGAAGTTCAGGAAGCAGTTCTGCCATCCCCTCAGGCATGAGCACTTCCAGGACTAAGATAAAAATAATGAGGATAATTTTAAATGACTGCCAGGATGCGAGAGCTGACTGCGGGCCATAAGCTCCACACGCGTTCATTCACTTCTTCCCCTACCAGCCCCGGGAGGCAGGTGTGACCAGCCCCACAGTGCTGAGGGGAGCAGAGGCTCGGAAGCAGAGGGACCTCCCTGAGAACGCAGTGAATAGCTCATAGCAGAACCGGAACCCGGCCTGTTAGCTTCAAGTCTGTCCACCCACCGCATGGCCTGGAGGTTGAGCACCTGCTTATCTTCTGAGTTAAAGGTGGTGAGAACACAGGAGGGGACTCCCTATTCCTGGTTCTTCACCCAGAAGATCTCAGCTCACTGTTGTTACTATTTAATTAATTTATTTATTTGAGACGGAGTCTCACTCTGTCGCCAGACTGAAGTGCAGTGGCATCACCTTGGCTCTCTGCAACCTCTGCCCCCCGGGTTCAAGTGATTCTCCTGCCTCAGCCTCCCGGGTAGTTGGGACTAGAAGTGCCTGCCACCACACCCAGCTGATTTTTGTATTTTTAGTACAGATGGGGTTTCACCATATTGGCCAGGATAGTCTCAGTCTCTTGACTTCACGATCTGCCCTCCTTGACCTCCCAAAATGGTGGGATGATAGGCGTGAGCCGCCGTGCCCGGCCGATATTTTATTTTTGATACCGTTTGCTCAATACCACATGACATATTCCCTGGAAATCAGGAGGGGTAGGTGTGGCTCTTCCTGTTTTTCAAATGGGGACCCTGAGGCTCACAGAGAGGA